GAATGTTAGTTACCATGTTATTATACTATGTTTTGTTATGCTACTATGTTGCGGTACAATGTTATGTTACTATGTGATGTCACTACGTTATGTTACTTTGTCATGTTGCGACGCTATGTTACCATGCTACGCCACTGTGCTATGTTACTATGTTATGTTACTATGATATGTTGTTATGTTATGCTACGGTGCTATGTTACTATGGTATGTTACGATGTTATGCTACTATGTTATCTTGCTACGTTATGTTACGATGTTGTGTTACTATATGATGTTTCGATGTTGCGTTAAGATGTTATGTTACTATGCTATGTTACTATGTTATGCAACTGTATTATGTTACTTTGAACCCAATGTTCTTCCTGAGACAGGTGGGTCAGGTGCGCACCCAAAGCAGACCCGTTGTTTCTTGACATTCGCAGGGCCGTCTTGTCTTGAAGTCGGCTCTCAAGGTATCAGAGCCCAGATCTACTGTGCTATTCTGAGGCGTTTAATGGGGAACATTCGGCGAAGCGGCCTGAAATATGGCGCAGGGGAACTGGCTACCAAAACATGGTGAAGCGTTCGTTAACGATGCTTTGAAAACGCGCGGCGATGAAAACATTAGACCAACCTCTCGTCAAGATTGAATTTTTAAAATTTGACACGAAGTGCGAAGATAAAATTTGGAAACAGCTGCCAAATGTCATGGTGATGCTTCTAACACTGAAGAAATGACTGATAAGACACCAGAGGGGGCTCATTACCCCCCCCCGCCCCACAAAAAAACAGGGTGAAATCAGATATGTCTTCCGGTTTCTGTGGACCTGGTCTGGAAACTTTTTGATCGTACTTCGCATTTAAGGCCAGCTGATAGGTGGTGTTTGAAATAGGAGGCTGCTTGGAATGCTCTCAAACAAACACAAAAACTTACCAGAAAAAGCTCACTTACCAGAGCGTCGACAGCTGGTCGTTGGAGCTCGACCTGGCTCCCTGGCCTATCGTCCTATACTCTTCGAAGTAGAACTTGGCCTCCACCGGGTCCGGCAGCAGAACGCTGGCGGCGGCGACGGCCATCAGGAGGGCGGCCATGCTCATTGTGGGCGTGGCTTGGGTCACGAGCCGGACTTGGTCTGGTCCTAGGGTCACGAGCCAGACCTGGCCTGGTCCTAGGGCCACGAGCCGGACTTGGTCTCGCCGGGGACGGGTCGGAGCGGCGCACCGGCGGTGGCGGGTCTTCGAGATCCACTCTCACGAGATCGCCTGCGAGACCAGGAGATTCGCTCCCATGGGAGCACGCTTGCAATTCCGTTCTCTGTCAGAGTGGCGTGGGTCAGCGCTCATCCACTCAACAACGCCGGACCGTGCCACGCCGCTGCTAGCAACAGCCTCCATCCAGGTCACCGTCACACGCGCCGCCGTCTTCATTGCCGACCGCCCGCGGGCAGTTCGCATCGCGCATGCGCAGATCGCAAAATCTTCCCCGGGCAGCCCGCGCGCGATCCCAGCACAACAGCCACACACTCGCGTGTTGCAGCGGGGAGACGAAGAGGGCGCCGGGGTATCAACGTCCGGAGGCCGTGGCGGAGGAGGTGGCACGTTATATGCAATAAATGGGCCTTCCGCAAATCATAGCGAGTCATGGCGTGATTTTATCGGAGTCAGGGCAGATCGCGGCGAAACCTCACGACGTGTTGCAGAGTTACAGAGACCAAGCTGAACTGTTGGGTGACAAATTGAAGCAAGGTGATTTGGGGGGGGGGGGGGAGCTATTTGGTAAGGTTTCACTAAATAATGCGCCTCCGTTTGGTTGCTGTCAAGTGGCTTGAGAAAACTGATAGGAACTCATTCCACACTTTTTTACGTCCATTCAAACATGGATTTATCACTAATACAATTCTGTTTTGGCGGCAGGTAGGCAAATAAGACAAGCGGGCTTTAACCTAACGAAACATTAGGTCTCGTTCAATTACCAACTGGTACAAAAACATCATGCCCACATGCTGTAAATTGTGCTGAATTTTCCTTGCAAGAAAACGGCAGCCTGTAGTGCCAAGCTCCCTGTTTACAACACCGGGATGTGATGTTCCCGTTCATGGGTGATAACTTAGAAAACATGGCCAAAGGGAATATTCCACATCTGGAGATTTTGAAGCGGCATCAGACATGATGAAAAAAGCCCACAACTGTTGGTATGCTAAGTGAAAAAACTGTTGAAGACAACTTTCTAGTACAGTTTCTCTATTTAGTAAATGTGTTTCTCGATACTTCATTGTTTAATTATGTCACCGTGCATTGCACAACATAGCTTGAGAGCTATATAGATATTCAAGATGGCTGTATGAGTTCAAAACCCCATTCAAATGTAGAGCACTGTCTTTACAAACGCCTAAAAACAATCAGATATGGTATACGTATGAGAACACGCACCAGCCTGTGCGCATCGACCCAATCTGTTGTCAATATGACTGTCTATTTCTCGTGCGTGAGACTGGGTCAGGTGTCTGACGCGTGGTTATCGAGATCTGCGGCTGGTTTCCACTCGTGTTTGCTGGCTTTGTTCACGAGACTATATTTGTCACGTTGTCATGACATGCCATTTTGTCCTGGCATGTCTATGCTAGGCGAATGAGGAGGAAACACTGTGGTGGTCTTGTAATGTCGCAGGAAGAACTCTCACGATCAACCAGCACACGTGGAAACGCCAAACAGTTTACACAGAACAACTTCTGAAGAATTACGCCTTATGCTGGTGAAACAGACAAACGTGAAGTCAGGAGCAATACAACTACTGAGTTGTTATGTGAAACGACCGGGCCAGGTTACCCAAGTTGAAAACCTCACAATTCCAGTAAGATATGCCCGCTCCACGCGCTTCTGTGGCAGGGGCTCTCCGTAACTAGTCATCAATTTCAGTCTCTGGTGAGCAGCTTGTAGGGCCAAGCATGCGATATGTGCTCCTTGGCATACAGGCTATGTCTGAGACCAGCTTTGTAAACTAGGAGCGCTCACCTCTCGCCCCTGTAGGTCATCGAGGTAGTTAAATGTGAAACAAAATAAAATAGCTAGATATAGGTCATGCGGGTCATGTAGGTAGGCCGCCCCTGTAGGTCATTTGGTGTCATTGAGCCGTCCTCCATATTTTAGCAATGCGCCTCCAGACTTATGCTAGCTTGCTGCTCCGCTGCCCCCCATCAGCTTGTATATGGCAAGGCGCCACAATTGGTGGCTGCGACGTTCGTTACGTGTTCAACATGTGTTCGTCTGCTGATGCACGCCGCTGCGATTGGCCCTCGGTCGTGTGTCTCAGTGCGCGAAGAGCTGGTTTGTCCAATCGGGACACGCGTACGCTTCTCAGAGGAAAACACGCTTCTCTGACTCGAACGGTGGAAACCTCTTATGCTCCCACACGAAAACGTCTCACTCTTCCACACGAAAATTTTCCACCGGACTACGCAGAGGAAACTGAACGACTTCACAGGTAATATTTCCTCCACTCAATCCGTTGGCTGCTCGTGGAACGCTGCCCATAAACACCAGCTGCACATTTCTAATGCGTTGTTCTCATCCGTTATCCACCCGTTTGCATTTGCCCGTCACTTAAGCTCTTAATTATAAAACAACATTTCAGAGAGGTTTACGACCAAACACACTCTTTCGCTTTTATGCGTGCAGAAACATCGTGAATGGCGCGAAAGTAGTAACAATTATGTGCAGGTTACTCGACATTTTGTAACCGTCGCATCCATCCTAGTACCGATACTTGTAATTTTCCCAAAACTGTACCTAATCCAATTCGTTACGCATGCCATATGTGTACCCGTGGAAGTACCAAGCGCATGAAGCCCCCAGCAAAGAAATCCCACAAGAATACGCGAACTCCTTGCTCAAATACGCGAACTCCTCTCACACAGACTCAGGAACACCACTCTGAGGAGCACACGACCATTTCCCAGACGGTTGAGTACCCCTCAGATCTTCTCAGTCCATCTCTCAGCTGGACCAAGATAACATATCTCTTGGATTGATGGCACACGTCTGACGACCAGGAGCGGGAGTACCTTGGAAACAAACACATTTTAACCTCTCTGACAAGCGCACAAAACCCATCACACCAGTACAAGACACACCTCGGATAATGACAAGCAGCCCTCTCCCCCCCCCCCCCCCCCCCGATGAATACGCGAACACCGCTCGCGAGAACATACCAAAACCTGCGACAGGCATTCGGGAAGCAAAACCTATCAGGCAGGTATAATCATTAGACGTGCGCTGAAAACCTTCCAGAGGAACGCAGAACCGTATCGCACATGAACATATGAACAAAGCACATCTCAGATAATCGCGCGAATTCCTCGAAAATGAGCACGGAATGCCTCAGACGAACACACGAAAGAACCTTAGAAAAACGGACGAATCATTCAGAAAATGCTTGTCAACTGGTCTGTCAACGCCTGTCAGAAAATCATTTGAATGCATTACAGACAAACGCATGGGCACTTACTGAGCGAACACATACACTAGCTTTTTCCATGAAAAGACGAATTCATCCCACCGCCTTCCTACCGCCACCTATCTACCGCCGACTACCTACCGCCGCCTACCTACCGCCGCCTACCTATCGCCGCCTACCCACTGTTGCTTTCCTACCGCCGCCTACCTGCCGCCGCCTACCTACCGCCACCTACCCACCTTCGCCTTCCTACCGCCGGCTACCTACCGCCAGCTACCTACCGCCGCCCACCTACCGCCGCCTGCCCACGGTCGCTTTCTTACCGCCAGCTACCTACCGCCGCCCACCTACCGCTTCGTCACAACCCTGGCCTCAAATGTGCTCGATTGTCATACCTTCTGTGTCTGCTTACCGCTGCCTATGGATGGCTTTAACGCTACACTGTCCTCATCGCGCACACATTGTTTGAATTGTCCGGAGCGTAGCTTGTAAATGCAGCAATGCTCATTCATGGCAAACCAATAAACTGGAACAAGCTAAGCTAAAAAACAAAAACAAAACGAGGACGTTTTTAAAGCGATCCATGTATTTCGGTACCAACAACATAGGACGACGTACAATTTCCGTCACATTTTTGGCGACTTTTCGTGTCGCATGTCCGGTGACAGCGCTCACGACGCTCGCCACATTTCGCTTGATCTCAACGGTGCCGAGGAGTTGAAAAACGTTGCCCTCTGCAGTCGCCATCAGCTTTCATCTACAAAGGTCGTCGGCACACGTTGCCCCTTGCAGAAGAGGTGAACGTCAGGTGACCTTTACAGGATGACCTCGACCTCCACCGCCAGACTTTCCACGGCGCACTCGTCGTTTCCGCGCTGAATTCTGAAATAGTCGAGAGAAATCAGCGGATTGCAAAGCGACGAGGCGATAGGCTTCATTCCAAGATCCAAGCGCCAGGATTTTACCGGGGCATCATGAGGTACATAACACTGATGAATAGTAAAACAATAATGGAGCTTGAATCAGGTATTTTTATAGCGGTCACTGATTTTGATTGTTACAACATTGACAGCGCACACAGATCCAAAGGTTTTAGCAGATCCAATTTTTTTGCGGAGGTATATCATTGCAACACCATTTACGAGTTCGGAGACCACTGCATTCAACAGCGCATGCCACAACTACCCGCAAGGGACAGCTCGGTGGTCGACCATAGTTGAAAATCATGCAAATTCCATGGACAGGTAAATCCCACACCATGTGCACATCACGAAAAATGAAGGCGTTGTTAAAGGGAGTGTTCCACGTTTATATAGGACTTTGAACTGAAACAAACATCTCGAAGACCTTTAAGTGTTGTCCACAGTCCTGCCCTTCTTAAGACCTAAGCTTATCTAGTTTTTGAGCAGCACGCCCGCGAAAATGGGAAAGCTGTATCGGAGGGAGTACCTAAAAGTCACCTTGGCACTTAAGACGTCATTGATAACGTCATTTAAATCCTATCATTCCATAAGCCACGCAGCGATCAAGGCCAGTAAAATATAATTGTCGAGGCGTTTGTATCTGACGTTCATGAACCTGATTTCCAGATATAACGGTAGTCCATTCGCCTCTCAATCAATGTTGCACAATGTATGATGGCGTAATGAAACCATCGCGTAATGAGGAGCATATCCACTTAACAGAGAATGGTGCTGTCTAGAGCAGTCCTTTGCACTTAAAAATATACCAAAAGTTTTAAATGAACTTGTTTAATCATATCTGATGCTTGCTTCAATATCTTCAAAAGTGAAACATACCCTATAAGTACCCAATTCCACGACAAGGGACCTTGGCCAACGCTATGGACATCTCAGACCTATTCCTCCCACTCATGGAGGCATCCAGTTCCAGGGACAACTACACCCGCCACCACATCGAAAAAGGACTACATATCCACACCGAACCTACGGGTCAACAGCATGCAGAAACCTGGCAACATAAACCTACATGAACGACTCTGCGACTTCACAGAACGACCTTGACCTCGACCGCAATGCTTTCGACGGCACACTCGTCAGCTCCACGCTGAATCCTGTAAAATAGCGGGGGGGGGGGGGGGGGGAGATTAACGGTCCCGATCCTAGCACCAAGCACGAGGTTAAAGATCCAGTCCAGCGATAGAGCGGCCTGGCAGAATGATAATGATGTTTGACGTTGATGATGATGTTAATGACGTTGATGATGTTGATTTGATTTGATGTTGATGATGTCTACTCACACCACAGCGGGCAGAAGAAGGAACTCGACGGGCAACGCCGTGAGGGCGACAGCGACGCGACGTCGAGACGCCGTGAGGGCGAACAAGCAGAACGCTGCAGATCACAGCGATCTGAATGTGGCGGCCTGGGTCTTGGACGTGGGCTGGATATGGCGGCCTGGGTCCTGGACGTGGGCTGGACATGGCGGCCTGGGTCCTGGGCGTGGGCTGGATATGGCGGCCTGGGTCCTGGGCGTGGGCTGGATATGGCGGCCTCGGTCCTGGACGTGGGCTGGATGTGGCGGCCTGGGTCCTGGGCGTGGGCTGGATATGGCGGCCGGGGTCCTGGACGTGGGCTGGATATGGCGGCCTGGGTCCTGGACGTGGGCTGGATATGGCGGCCTGGGTCCTGGACGTGGGCTGGATATGGCGGCCTGGGTCCTGGGCGTGGGCTGGATATGGCGGCCTCGGGTCCTGGGCATGGGCTGGATGTGGCGGCCTGGGTCCTGGACGTGGGCTGGATATGGCGGCCTGGGTCCTGGACGTGGACTCAATTCTGGATCCGTTGGCAATCAAGCGGCACGATCCCATCTTTTCATCGCGATAGCCATCGTATCTAGGCTCTGAACTTGTCTTTTCTGGTCAATGGGCCTTAGGATTTTGGATCACCACATGCCCTTTAAGCTTTACGATTTTCCTGCCGGATTCTATGTTCTAAGACATAGTGGTTGACCTATGCGCTCAGAGATGCCCTCCCTTGGAGTTGCATCCAACACACATGTGCGTTGGACCTTAGGGACAATCTAGCTCCTTAATGTATGTGATTTGCTTATGTCACCTGACTGCTCCTACCCGCACCTGGTTCAGCAGCATAGCGCCTTGAGAGGGGAATCCGATGAAAGAATTCCTGTGTAGTTTCTGTTGAAGAGTACGTTACAGCGTCTGTTGAAGCGTGAAGCCAACGTCGCGGCGTCTGTTAAAGCGTGAAGCGTACTTCTGAGTCTCCCGCCGCCGCAGGTCGCCCTCCACCCCCACCTGACCTCCCCGCCGCTCCCACGGCCCTCCCACCCACGCAGGGCCCTCACTTGAAGTAGCCGTTGTCGCCCCAGTCGGAGCTCCACGAGTTCTTGATGTTCCAGAACTTGGTGCCGTTCAGGGTGCCGTAGCCGGTGACGAGGACGGCGTGGTTGGTGAGCTCGAAGGGGTCGATCTGGCCGCCGCCCAGCTGCTCAGCCAGCGCGAAGTCGTGGTGGTAGACGCCGTCCTTGTACGGCCTCAGGTCGTCGTAGACCTCGAAGCCGACCACCAGCGGTCCGTTGTGCACCAGAGACTGCATCATCAGTGCCTCGTTGCAGGCGCCGTAGTAGCCTGCCGCCACGGAGACGGTGATCAGGAGGTGATCAGGAGGAGGAGGCCGGCGCAGGCTGTGGAGAGGGCTCGCAGGAGACAGCTCCGGTGAGGGCGGTAGGCTTTGTCTTGTTTTTTGATGAGCTGACCGTTTGTTAGCACCATTTGATTATTAGCATCATTTGTAGCATCCACTGTCGCAATGAATGTAGCTAAATGACAGGAGAACAGGCCCACTGATCGATATTTGAGAGATCTGTTCGCTAGTCGTACTGTGATAGTGCAGTCACAAAGGTCGACATTGCAACCGAGCATTGAAATAAACCACTGTATGTTTCAGATCGCTTACTCGACGACTCCTTTGTTGTTGCCCCATACTAGTAGCCGAAGCAGTCATTGACTTGGCTACCACTAAAATGTCACATCACCGCTCCCATGGCAACCACGACCCGTTGGTTTAACGCCCGGCCATCTCACCTCCCACGTATCGGTAGTGCGCGGCGTAGGTCCGACCGCAGCTCATGTCAGTGCCGCACGTGGGGGTGTCCGACCCCTGATACGGGTCACACGACTCGGCCACCACACCGAAGTCCTGCAACACAAACAGGTCTGGCACCCCTGCAAACCGTGCGGGGCGCCCCGGGCGTAGCGGGCGAGGTCGCCTTTCGCGCTAGCGTGCCGACGCTACGCCACAGAGGACTATGTCTATGTCTATGTCTATGTCTATGTCTGTGTCTGTGTCTATGTCTATGTCTATGTCTATGTCTATGTTGATGTTGATGTTGATGTTGATGTTGATGTTGATGTTGATGTTTATGTTTATGTTTATGTTTATGTCTATGCCTATGTTTATGTTTATGTCTATGTCTATGTCTATATTTATGTCTATGTCTATGTCTATGTCTATGTCTATGTCTATATCTACGCAAAGTGGTATAGTGGTATAGTGGCATAGTGGTATGGCAGCACCAGCGACGCTACCAGCCTCGCCGGTAGTCATCGCCAGCATTCCAGGTTGGCGGCAGCATGGCATGGCGTGGAGTGATGGGAGACCGTGTGACGTCACGTGACGTCACAAAAAGTAGCATAACACACTGGGGTTAACCTGTGCAGGGGCGTAGCGTGTCCGCTTATGAGGTAATATGTCATTAGACTTGCGTGAGGCGGTGTGCTTTGAAGACTGGCATTCTCAGCATGCACTGTTTTCATGTGGTATGATATGCGTGACATGGTGTAACGCGGCGATGCCTTTAATGGATACGACAATTTAAACATGGCGGACATTACCGTGGCCACTACGAAAGGAAGGGCAGGATGAAACATATGTAGCCCGCGTGATGCATGAAATGACGTGACGTGACGGCACATGACGTGACGTGACGTGACGTGATCTGACGTGACGAGACGCCTATCTGGCGTGACGAGACGCGATCTGCTGTGACGTGACGCGATCTGACGTGACGGGACGCGGTCTGACGTGACGTGACGTGATCTAACGTGACGTGACGCGATCTGACGTGACGGGACACAGTCTAACGTGACGTGGCGCGATCTGACGTGACTGGATGCGGTCTGACGTGACGGGACGTGATCTGACGTGACGGGACGTGATCTGACGTGACGGGATGCGGTCTGACGTGACGTGACGCGATCTGACGTGACGGGACGTGATCTGACGTGACGTGACGTGATCTGACATGACGAGACACGGTCTCACGTGGCGTGACCCGACCGGGACGTACCTTGGCGTACTTGCCGGCAATCAGGTACGGGAAGCCGCCATCACAGCCCTGGGCGTACGCGCTGCAGCTGACGATGTCCTGCAGCGGGTCAGGTCAGGTCAGGTCAGGTAGAGGTCAGCGCAGTCGATAGCATTCCTCAAAAGGTGGGTCAGGTCATTGCTGATGGCCTTCTACATCAGTTCAGAAAATCGGGTCAGTGGTATTACAGCTGGTAGTTCAGGTTAGCTGGCGACATTCCAAGATAACCAACGTAGGTCAGTTTGCCATGTTATATGACACATGGCATAGGCTGGCCAACCATGTTGCACACAGATAATTTTCGTCAGTTGATCAGATATACAGCGCAAAGTAGTAATATTAATATTCATTATAATCTATATAACTAAACCTAATCTTTGTATTTATGTAAACATATATATATATATATATATATATATATATATATATATATATATATATATATATATATATATATATATATATATATACTAGCATAATATTCAAAGAAGTCGACTGTAATAACTTTAGGTGAAAGGATGCCACGAAACTGCAGAAGCCTGGTGCCAGCTGATCGCGGTCTCCACCAGCGCGGCCTTGGAATGACCTTGAACCGCCGATAGAACGCGCGAGATATTTGACGATTTATCTCCATACAGACAGGGACATTCTGACCGGCGGAACGGCATACCATAAATGCCACTTCACAGTAGACTTGTTTATGGATTGCGCATCCAGGAAGAGATAAAACCCAATGCATTAAGGTTGAATCTAGCCTTCCGGAGTTTGTTCTTACCAATATTTTCCAAATCAATCTAGTGTAATCCATTGAACGAGACCCCCACAACTAATAATTCGCATTCACCCACCACAATTTCAGCCATACTCGACATCTGTTGTCAAGTTTGGCAGTTGACACGTCATTCACGTGGCAACTGCAGCACACGTACACTCGTTCACCACTTCCACACTCGGCATCCATCTTGTCAATTCGTTTCAGTCCATTCGGCTCGCCAACTCAAGACGCAGATTAGCTGTAATCCATGCGTACTGGAGATCATCGTATCCAGTTCAGTGTATTGATTTGTCCCGAGTGCACAAACGTATCCGACACCTGACGGTTGCACTGTGCTTCCCATGCACGCTATGGCCAGTCGGAGCCTCCATCCCTTTGTGAGCATGCTTCTTATGTGTGTCAGCTGGGCCCCTGTTATCTCACGATATCTTGCAACTGGTGAGCACTGGTAGGGGTACTGCTTTTGAGCAGAATGCACCGAGGCAGTAAGACCAACATATCGGCGGTATTCCGACGGTTCCTGATTGTGTTCCGACGGTTCCCGATGGTGTTCCGGCGGTCCTCAATGGTATTCCGGGGGTCCAAGGCGGTGTTCCGGCGGAAAGAGGGTGCTGTTCTTGGTCTGATGACCAAGCATTTGAATTTGCAAATTTCGTTATATTCAAGAATATGAATTTGCATGGCTTTACAACTACTTATTGGGATTATGATGAACCATCTCAACTCCTCCCTATGCACTGACCTGCGGCGAGAAGACGGGCTGCTGGGTGTTGTTGGTGAGGATGCGGACCTGCGATTCCAGAGCAGCCATCGAGGAGAAAGCGTAACAGGACCCGCACTGGGCCTGGTCCCTGTCGGCACGTGGAGGTCGGTTACAGTGTCGGCAGGTGAAGGTCGGTTACAGTGTGGAGGTCGGTTATAGTGTCGGCAGGTGAAGGTCGGTTACAGTGTTGGCATGTGAAGGTCGGTTGCAGTGTGGAGGTCGGTTACAGTGTCGGTATGTGGAGGTCGGTTATAGTGTTGGCATGTGAAGGTCGGTTACAGTGTTGGCATGTGGAGTGTGGTTACAGTGTCGGCACGTGGAGGTCGGTTACAGTGTTGGTTTGTGGAGGTCGGTTACAGTGTCGGCACGTGGAGGTCGGATACAGTGTCGGCATGTGGAGGTCGGTTACAGTGTTGGCATGTGGAGGTCGGTTACAGTGTCGGTATGCGGAGGTCGGTTACAGTGTTGGCATGTGGAGGTCGGTTACGGTGTCGGCACGTGGAGGTCGGTTACGGTGTTGGCTTGTGGAGGTCGGTTGCAGTGTCGGCATGTGAAGGTCGGTTGCAGTGTGGAGGTCGGTTACAGTGTCGGTGTGTGGAGGTCGGTTACAGTGTTGGCATGTGAAGGTCGGTTGCAGTGTGGAGGTCGGTTACAGTGTCGGTATGTGGAGGTCGGTTACAGTGTTGGCTTGTGGATGTCGGTTACAGTGTTGGCATGTGAATGTCGGTTACAGTGTTGGCATGTGGAGTTTGGTTACAGTGTCGGCACGTGGAGGTCGGTTACAGTGTCGGCATGTGGAGGTCGGTTACAGTGTCGGCATGTGGAGGTCGGTTACAGTGTTGGCATGTGGAGGTCGGTTACGGTGTTGGCATGTGGAGGTCGGTTACGGTGTTGGCTTGTGGAGGTCGGTTCCAGTGTTGGCATGTGGAGGTCGGTTACAGTGTTGGCATGTGGAGGTCGGTTACGGTGTTGGCATGTGGAGGTCGGTTACAGTGTTGGCATGTGGGGGTCGGTTACGGTGTTGGCATGCGGAGGTCGGTTACGGTGTTGGCATGTGGAGTTCGGTTACAGTGTCGGCATGTGGAGGTCGGTTACGGTGTTGGCATGTGGGGGTTGGTTATACGCCCGGGTGTTATGTCACAGGTTCTGACCGATGGCCAGCTCCATGCTCAGCAACATGCCCAGCCACATGTCTGACACATGCGCTATCTCGTGTGCCGTTTCATGTCCTGCTTTGATACTTCATGGGCAGGGAGTTGGAGGGATTAGCATGACTGTAGGTCAGATAGGACAGATTTTAGCACATAAGCATCCTGTGGCTCTTAAATTGACACAAACAAACGCGCGTCGAGCGGTGCCCGCTGCGCCGACCTGTCACGACCCGCCAGAGTCGACTCACACGGTAACGTTCGCGCTGCGTGAATAGCGCTCCCTTGGGCCCCTCCAGACTGACGTGTCACACGGTCTAGCTCGTGTTCTGTCCCGAGTTTATCACATGGCGTGACGCATTATAAGGAAAATCCCCCTCTCTCTCTCTCTCCCTCTCTTTCTCCCTCTCTTTCCCTCTCACGCTCTCTCCCTCGTTCTCTCCCTCTCTCTCCCTCTCTCTCTCTCTCTCTCTCTCTCTCTCTCTCTCTCTCTCTCTCTCTCTCTCTCTCTCTCTCTCTCTCTCTCTCTCTCTCCTCTCTCTCTCTCTCTCTCTCTCTCTCTCTCTCCTCTCTCTCTCTCTCTCTCTCTCTCTCTCTCTCTCTCTCTCTCTCTCTCTCTCTCTCTCTCTCTCTCTCTCTTGCTTCCTTTATCCAGTCCCCTCTTTAGAGATTTCTCCTCTCTCCAGCCCCCCCCCCCCCACCCCCCGCTCCAGAGCCAGCCATCCGCGGAGCCGTCTCTCCAGCGCCGCCTCGCCCCAGGGCGTCGCCTCACCGGACTGGCGAAACGTAGTTGATGCCGTTGACGTCGTTCCAGTCGAAGCTGTCCGGCAGCGACTGGATGATCTCGCGATGCTCTTTCGTCATCGGCGCCGCCCGCGGACGCTGGGGCAGGCGGGACCTGCGCACGTGACGTCACAAGGCGGCATCA